AATACATTGATAACACATGTTTTCTGACAGGTGAAATAACTATTTTTTCTCATAGGCTCTGAAGGTAGTTCTGAAAGCACTAAGAAAAAAATCTTTTGAGCAAAATACCTAGGAATAAATTTTGACCAAAGAAATCGAAAATGACACAAATGGGAAGACAGTCCATGCTCATGGCTTGGAAGAATAGTTAAAATGCCCTACTACCCAAAGCCATCTATAGATTTAATGCAATCCCTATCAAAATACCAACAACATTTATCACAGAATGCCAAAATTTGTATGGAACCACAAAACACCTTGAACAGCCAAAGCAATCTTGAGAAAAAAGAACAAAGCTGAATGTATTAAAATTCCAGATTGTAAAATATACTACAAAGCCACAGTAATCAAAAGAGTATGGAACTGGCACAAAAACAGACAAATGGATCAATGGAACAGAAAGAGAGAACCCAGAAATAACTCTACACTTATATGACCAATTAATCTACAACGAAGGAGGCAAGAATAGATAATGGGGAAAAGACAATCTCTTCAAAAAATGATGCTGAGAAAAAGCTGGACAGCTACTTGCAAAAGAATGAAACTGGGCCATTTTCTTACACCATACACAAAATAAATCCAAAATGGATTCAAGACCAAAATGTGGGACCCCAAAATAATAAAATGCCTAGAAGAAAACATAGGCAGTAATCTCCTTCACAGTGGTTTTAGCAATATTTTCTAGATAGGTCTCCTGAGGCAAGGGAAACAAAAGCAAACATAAATTATTGGGACGATAAAAGGCTTTTGCATTGAGAAGGAAACCAACAAAAAAAGGCAACCTACTGAATAGGGGAAGATATTTGCAAATGATTACATCCAGTAAAGGGTTAATATCTAAACTATATAAAGAACTTCTATAACTCAAGACTGGAAAAAAAAAAAAAAAAGAAATGGGCAGAGGACCTGAATAGTTTTCCAAAGAGAACCTACAGGTGGTAAACATATGAAAAGACACTCAACGTCACTAATCATCAGGGAAATGCAAATGAAACCGCAATGAGGGATCACTTGATACCTGTCAGAATTGCCAGAATCAAAAAGAAACAGGTGTTAGTGAAGACGTGGAAGAAAAGGAACCCTCGTACACTGTTGGTAGGAATGCAGACTGGTGCAGCCATTATGGAAAACAGTATGGAGGTTCCTCATATATTATATATATGTGTGTGTATATGTGTACATGTATATTATATATACATAACACACAGAATAGAATATTATTCAGCCATAAAAAAGAATGAGACCTTGCCATTTACAGCAACATGAATGGACCTAGAAGGTATATCAGGGAAAGACAAATACCATATGATTTCACTCATGTGGAATCTTAAACAAATGAAGAAACCAAGACAAA